GTCCCCAGTCCCCAGCCAGGGGACGTGGCTGCAGCTCACTCTCATGACGTACGTATCCCTCTCGAGCAGCGATGAGCTCGTGGCACCCCCCAAATACCCAGTTGTTTATTCTCTGTTCGTCAGGAGGGTCCGAATCAGCTCATATACCCGTCGCATCCTCTCCTCCCTTTCCTTACTGAAGTTCACCATGTGATAGGACATGGTGTGCATAACCTCCTGATGTTTTCAATTTTCTGATTGCGTTTCCCTGCCGCCACCACCATGCTGGTAATTAAATGGTCACGCTTAAACATCACTGACAAATTTTTAAGTGATCAGATTTTTTCTGTCCTAACTCCTTGTGTGAATCTGAATATCGAGGTGGAGAGATGAAAAATGCCTGCCGTCCCCGATCATCTACCTCATTCCTCCGGCAGTGTGGGTTCATTCGCTACTACTGTATGTCTTGCTAACACATTAACTAATCTAATTTTATATGTTTCTTGCTTCTGTAGCAGCTAAAAAGTATAACTCCTGAGTAAATCTTCTCTATACAATAGCTCTGCACAAGTTGTAGACCATATTTGCAGTGATAGGAAGCAAAATAAGGATTCTCCAGGGAAATAATGTCTTTATGGCTGTTTTCAAAGAACCACAAGGTACTTCTGAAAATACGCGCTGCGCAGTGGGGTAGAATAGCTCAGCTAGCGTTAAATGAGCAAGAGCAGGTGTCAAGGGCCTGGTCAGTGCCAGGGCCGAGCTCCGGCCGTGCCCATACTGGGGGCTGTTCAGGTGCCTTTGCACTGCGACGCAGCATGGTCGGGCCAGGCAGAGGGGTGCTGGAGAGGATTTTGAGAGCCCCCTGAGCCCATCACCAGGCACGGGGGAGGGACCTTGGACCACTGCACCACCCAAGCTCTTCTCAGAAACTTCCAAGGTGCCCAAGCCTGTCTAGGTATCCTGTCCCAGTGCTTCCCGACATGGAAGCTATTTCCCCCTCCAAAACCCCCCAAATCTGCACTTCTCCTATCCTTAGATGAAGCTAACTTGTTACCTATATGCTACCCGCTGCTATGCACCGGCATGGTCCTGGCTTAGGTCGATAGCCAGACGTGCTCGTTCGATGCTCCTCTTGCATTCGAGAGTTGAGACTATGCGAGTATTTACAGTTTCCCCAGATCTTTCCGTTCTCCTACGTAAAATAAAATTAGTTAAAACAATGGCAAATTCCTGAATGCATTTCTTATTCAAAACACTTTGGTGAGTCATATCTGCACACCCCCTCGGGCAGGTTATGCTTACTCATAAAAAGCTTTTGAAGTTTGTTGATATTTTAAATACAAACCAAACAAGCAGTGACAAGCTGCTGCTCTGCTAAAATCAGTTCATTTGGGAATTTGATCCCCTGCTCTTCCGTTCCAGTTGCCTGACTGGGCCCAGAGAAGACCATCTGTGGTTTCTAGCTAGGACAGGGTTGTAATACAACAATAAATACTGAAGCCCAGAGCGCATGGACTCCTTTTCCTCCCTGGTATATAGGAGTAACTCTTACATTCAGGTTTCTGCATGTGCCAGCTAGTTGCTCGTTCTCCGGAGCCGTGCTGGACCTGGGTTTGGAGCCGGGGTTCAGGCCGGCTTCCTGCCCGCTCTCTCCTGTAGCGTGGCGTCTCCATATACGCTTTAGTTTGACTTTCTGTGATAATCTTTGGCGACGTGATGTGCAGTAGCAGTTTTAAATGCCCTTGTCAACGTTTCTGTGTGTTTTAATTGACTCAGGAGATGTAGGACATAGAATAAATGGCAGGTTTTAAATAATTAAGGTGCTGCTAATCCTCAAGAAATGTCAGAAAGTCCCTAAGAGATACCGCATGAGAGCCTCTTTCTTGTGAATCGGCTAATTAAAGAGCTCCTTTTCACTGAAAATAAATAACCGTATGAGGCTGTCATCTACAGCACGCTTAGCCTGAGGAAGGAATGGCTGCTTAGGAGATTAACAATGTAGTATTTTGGTTTTAGAGGTAGAGGTGTTTAGACATAAATCATAAGACTATTTTTCAGTAGTGTAAATAATTAGCAGTAGAGCCAGTAATCGGA